GTAGAGACCTCGGGACATCATTATTAGCTAAAAACTTACAAGGATAAATCCTGTTCACATAAGATAAGCCACAAACATACCTCAAGTATTTGACGTCCGTAAGTTTTAATATTCATGAGATTAAACTCTGTGTATGACTTAGGTTTACCATACTTCTTTAGATAATTATATTTGGGCTTTGCCTGTAAGAAATTAGGGAAAAAAATTCAGTTACATTAAGAAAGGTATGGAAATACAATACAGTGTTATATATAATATATATACTTAATTACATTCAGAAATTGTTCTACTGATACATATGCAGCACTCAATTTTAAACAACTGCCACCATTTACTCTGTACATTTGACAACACTTGGCAAATGTCTGTGATGTGACTGAATCAAGTAGATATAAAGCTGAAAGAAAGAGGCATCATATTCATACCCTACAGTTGTATTTCACCTTCTTGCTATACAACTACCATTTAACAAGAAGGTCTAAATGTTATACTTCTATGGGTCAGAAAAATTTGACTCTTCTAGCCGGAACCACTTGCAAGGGCCTCCTCATGTGACAAATAATAAAACTGGGGGCAATTGTGTTGTTTTATGTTTATAATTGTACATTATATGGCAATTGTTAGTGTATTCGAATGAGATATCTTAATGGCCATACATAATGCACTTTACATGGCCCTAAAATTAATTACTTACCCACCTAAGCCTGTTAACTTTGAACATAGTGTAGAGTAAAAGGCTTGGGCATTAATGCCTTTAACAATTGAATGAAATATATAGTCTAAGAGCCTCTATATAAAATACAGAACAGTACAGAGCAATTTGTATTACCTTGCATAGGAAGTCCCGGAGAGTTCCAGTGGCATGGAATGAACGGATAGAAAGCGCACCGCTATCACTAGCTGTTGCAAAGGTGACTGGATAGATAAAAGGATGCTGTAGAGTGGGCAATAGTTTGAATATTGACTGGATGTCTTTATCTGATAAATGTTTGTCAGGACCAAGGTCACTCTGAAGAAAAGAACAAAAACAGAATTCATTCCCATTTAATTATAACTGGAACTTGAATTTACAGAATACGCTGAGCCAAAGCTAATTTACATATGGCAGCGTATAGCATACTACCGGTATACGCTGAGCCAAAGCTAATTTACATATGGCAGCGTATAGCGAACTATCGGTATACGCTGAGCCAAACCTAATTTACATATGCCAACGTATAGCATACTATCAGCATACACTGAGCCAAAGCTAATTTACATATGGCAGCGTATAGCGAACTATCGGTATACGCTGAGCCAAAGCTAATTTACATATGGTAGCGTATAGCATACTATCGGTATATGCTGAACCAAAGCTAATTTACATATGGCAGCGTATAGCAAACTATCGGTATACGCTAAGCCATAGCTAATTTACATATGCCAGCGTATAGCATACTACCGGTATACGCTAAGCCAAAGCTAATTTACATATGGCAGCGTATAGCAAACTATCGGTATACGCTGAGCCACACCTAATTTACATATGACAGCATATAGCATACTATCGTATACGCTGAGCCAAAGCTAATTTACATATGCCAGCGTATAGCATACTATCGGTATACGCTGAGCCAAACCTAATTTACATATGACAGCATATAGCATACTATCTGGATATGCCGAGCCACAGCTAATTTACATATGTCAGAGTACAGCATACTATCGGGATACATCAATGTATGGCATTTTCCAAATATCTTCTTAATATCGTAAGAAAACCTTGGACATCTAATATGCATCCTGAAACATATTTTGATCTATTAGTGTTTATTGGGATTATAACGTAACATATTAGTGTTTATTGGGATTATTACGTGACATATTAGTGTTTATTGGGATTATTACGTGACATATTAGTGTTTATTGGGATTATTACGTGACATATTAGTGTTTATTGGGATTATTACGTGACATATTAGTGTTTATTGGGATTATTACGTGACATATTAGTGTTTATTGGGATTATTACGTGACATTAGTGTTTATTGGGATTATTACGCGACATATTAGTGTTTATTGGGATTATTACGTGACATATTAGTGTTTATTGGGATTATTACGTGACATATTAGTGTTTATTGGGATTATTACGTGACATATAAGTGTTTATTGGGATTATTACGTGACATATTAGTGTTTATTGGGATTATTACGCGACATATTAGTGTTTATTGGGATTATTACGCGACATATTAGTGTTTATTGGGATTATTACGTGACATATAAGTGTTTATTGGGATTATTACGTGACATATTAGTGTTTATTGGGATTATTACGTGACATATTAGTGTTTATTGGGATTATTACGGGACATACTTGTACAAGTGTTTATTGGGATTATTACGGGACATATAAGTGTTTATTGGGATTATTACGTGACATATTAGTGTTTATTGGGATTATTACGTGACATATTAGTGTTTATTGGGATTATTACGTGACATAATAGTGTTTATTGGGATTATTACGTGACATAATAGTGTTTATTGGGATTATTACGTGACATATTAGTGTTTATTGGGATTATTACATGACATATTAGTGTTTATTGGGATTATTACCTGACATATTAGTGTTTATTGGGATTATTACGGGACATATAAGTGTTTATTGGGATTATTACATGACATATTAGTGTTTATTGGGATTATTACATGACATATTAGTGTTTATTGGGATTATTACGTGACATATTAGTGTTTATTGGGATTATTACGGGACATAATAGTGTTTATTGGGATTATTACGTGACATATTAGTGTTTATTGGGATTATTACATGACATATTAGTGTTTATTGGGATTATTACATGACATATTAGTGTTTATTGGGATTATTACGTTATTGGGATTATTACGTGACATAATAGTGTTTATTGGGATTATTACGTGACATATTAGTGTTTATTGGGATTATTACGGGACATACTTGTACAAGTGTTTATTGGGATTATTACGGGACATATAAGTGTTTATTGGGATTATTACGTGACATATTAGTGTTTATTGGGATTATTACGTGACATATTAGTGTTTATTGGGATTATTACGTGACATAATAGTGTTTATTGGGATTATTACGTGACATATTAGTGTTTATTGGGATTATTACGTGACATATTAGTGTTTATTGGGATTATTACCTGACATATTAGTGTTTATTGGGATTATTACATGACATATTAGTGTTTATTGGGATTATTACATGACATATTAGTGTTTATTGGGATTATTACGTTATTGGGATTATTACGGGACATATAAGTGTTTATTGGGATTATTACGTGACATATTAGTGTTTATTGGGATTATTACGTGACATATTAGTGTTTATTGGGATTATTACGGGACATAGTAGTGTTTATTGGGATTATTACGTGACATATTAGTGTTTATTGGGATTATTACATGACATATTAGTGTTTATTGGGATTATTACATGACATATTAGTGTTTATTGGGATTATTACGTTATTGGGATTATTACGGGACATATAAGTGTTTATTGGGATTATTACGTGACATATTAGTGTTTATTGGGATTATTACGTGACATATTAGTGTTTATTGGGATTATTACGTGACATATTAGTGTTTATTGGGATTATTACGTGACATATTACTGTTTATTGGGATTATTACGTGACATATTAGTGTTTATTGGGATTATTACGTGACATACTTGTACAAGTGTTTATTGGGATTATTACGGGACATATAAGTGTTTATTGGGATTATTACGTGACATATTAGTGTTTATTGGGATTATTACGTGACATATACATATGTAAGTGTTTATTTGGATTATTACGTGACATATTAGTGTTTATTGGGATTATTACGTGACATATTAGTGTTTATTGGGATTATTACATGACATATTAGTGTTTATTGGGATTATTACATGACATATTAGTGTTTATTGGGATTATTACGTTATTGGGATTATTACGGGACATATAAGTGTTTATTGGGATTATTACGTAACATATTAGTGTTTATTGGGATTATTACGTGACATATTAGTGTTTATTGGGATTATTACGGGACATATAAGTGTTTATTGGGATTATTACGTGACATATTAGTGTTTATTGGGATTATTACGTGACATATACATATGTAAGTGTTTATTTGGATTATTACGTGACATATTAGTGTTTATTGGGATTATTACGTGACATATTAGTGTTTATTGGGATTATTACATGACATATTAGTGTTTATTGGGATTATTACATGACATATTAGTGTTTATTGGGATTATTACGTTATTGGGATTATTACGGGACATATTAGTGTTTATTGGGATTATTACGTGACATACTTGTACAAGTGTTTATTGGGATTATTACGGGACATATAAGTGTTTATTGGGATTATTACGTGACATATTAGTGTTTATTGGGATTATTACATGACATAATAGTGTTTATTGGGATTATTACGTGACATATTAGTGTTTATTGGGATTATTACGGGACATATAAGTGTTTATTGGGATTATTACGTGACATATTAGTGTTTATTGGGATTATTACGGGACATATAAGTGTTTATTGGGATTATTACATGACATATTAGTGTTTATTGGGATTATTACGTGACATATTAGTGTTTATTGGGATTATTACGCGACATATTAGTGTTTATTGGGATTATTATGTGACATATTAGTGTTTATTTGGATTATTACGTGACATATTAGTGTTTATTGGGATTATTATGTGACATAGTAGTGTTTATTGGGATTACTACGTGACATATTAGTGTTTAATGAGATTATTACGTGACATATTTGATCCTAGGGATATGCATGAATCCAAATTTCCACTATTATCACCATGTCCAAATGTTGTTGAATGATTCAGCTCATTATTTTATTTGAATTACATCCTGATGTATCACAAAGATTCATCATAGTTTCATTTTCAACAATTTGTGTATACATACAAATAAACCTATCTTCTTAGAGAGCACACTAAAGCATGGTAAAACATTATAAGTGCAAAAAGTGAAAAAAAAGTATGCACAAAGACAACAATTGTAGCTATTGTTTTCAGTGTCAGATGTATAATACTGGTAATTGTTTTTACTAATGATTATATATCTAAATCTGTAAATATCATTATTTGTTCAGTTATTTTTAGTTTTTATGCTACTACAAGCAAGTAACAACACAATCACATTGTATTGCTAGACAACAGTGAGTAATTACTTACAATCCTGACATACAAATAAATTTTTTAGCAGTAAAGGTTTCATTGAGATCTTCAAATGTGAGTTGTAGTGCATTTCACAATTTTTTTTCATTCCAAATGCCTTCAAATTATCAAACCATTTAAAAAACTATTTTGTGACTTACCCATGCCAGTACTTGACGGACTTTGGGTTGTTCTTTGGGTTTTATTAAAAAATAGTGTTTTCTGATTCTCCATCCGACTTCTTTGAGTGGTTCCACCACTTCCCAATATGGTTCTGATCTGAAGAACATTGACACATGTTGCAAAGCTATTTCTGAAAAAACAAACACATGACAAGATACTCAATTTTACCAGTAATTTGCATTTTAAAGATGCATTACAGATGAGTAAGTGTTTTTATTTATATTTTTAATCTACTACATGTACCATTAATTCTGCAATACTAAATATATGAAATTTTAACATAATCAGTCAAAACAAAATGACCACCATTCGGCCATTTTAAATTTGATCTGAAAAATAAAATGACGTGCATCAGGAACCCATAAAAATAAGCCAAGCATGACACAGTCCCTGTCAGTTATCATAACACAAGTCATTGTTAAATTTGTGAAAGTTCTCTTTGTGCTCGTCATCGCGAGCGCGTCCTTGAAACTTGAGTCCAAATTCGAATACGTGTTGCATGATGACCCCTCTAGTTTAAGACACATCAAAGAAAAACATAGATCACAAGTGAAAGCATATCCAAGTTATCACATTTTAAACATGGCCGCCAGTCGGCCATATTTGATCAAATTGCAAATTGAATTGACATGTACATGTATTCATTTATGACATGCTAAATATCAATGAAAATGAAACATGGGTGACAGAGATACAGTAATATGGCCAAAAATAAATACAGTCGTTATTCGGCCATCTTTGATCTGATTATGAAACAAAGTGACATGTATGATGTATGTGCCAAACACGAATGAAAATGGTACATAAATCTTGGAAATATAGCAGTTAAGGCCAAAAAGTGAGATGGCTGTCAATCGGCCATCCTTGATTCGATTTTGAAACAAATTTTCATGGACATGCATCCTAACATGTATAAAGTATGTGCTAAATTTGAATGAAAACTGACAGAGCATGTCCAAGATACCACATTTTCTAAAAACATGATGGCTGCCAGTCGGCAATTTTGAACCGAATCGCTAATTTACTGCACGTGCATATGCCAGATAATGTACTAGTCATATGCAAAAAATGAACGGAATCGGTCCAAAGGATTCTGAAATATGACTCCAGACGGACGGACACACGGATGGACGGACAGAGATCAAATTATAAGTCCCCGTTTTCGGACTTCATCCGAATGGGGACTAATAAACATGTCAGAAATATGGATCCAGAAGCTGATGCTTGATTATGATGATTTTTTAGCATTAAAATGATTGACATTCAGTCATCTTGTATCTCATTGTCAAACGAGTACTTGTACTGGAACAGCATTGATTAAAACAAAATGGCCACCAGTCGGCCAATTTCGAATCAGATCGTCAAACCAATAGATTTGTATGATATGATGTATAATGAATATATAAAATTTAAACATCAGTCAAAGCATGTCAGAGAGATATTACTCTAGAATCACATTCATTAAAAAAATGGCCGCCAGTCAGCTATTTTGAATCTTATCTGAAAAACAAAATGACGTACATCAAGATCCCATAATGTCCAATGTATGTACTAAGTTTTAGAAAAATCCATCTGTAAACAGCAGAGAAATGCTTGATTTTGGTGTTTTTCAGTACAAAAATGGTCGCCATTCAGCCATCTTAAATCAGATCGTGAAACAAATTGATGTCCATATGTATAATATTATTTATGATGTATGTGTAAAGTTTGAATGTAATTACTCCAGGCATGTCTAAGATACATGGTCGCACGGACGCACAAAGGTCAATCCATAAGTCCCCGTTTTCAGGCTGCGTTCGAAAGGGGACTAAAAAGATATTCAATGAAATGAGACTCACAGTAAATTCATTATTGATATGAATTTTTTTATCTTTTCACATTTTAAAAAAAATTGACATTAAATTTTGAGTTGTTTTTTGCCATTATATTGAATAGGATATTGAATGTCATTCATAATGCATTGCACATATTCTACATAACAAGATCTGTAGAGACACATTTGACTCAAACCTTTTACTAAATATTTACCAAATTAGAGTAAAACACTATTAATGCATTTTTTAAAACGGTTTTCAACCTTACTAATAACACATTTTTAGTTGTAGAGTTTGGGCACAAATCATATCTTTCTTGTTTTCAGCATTTTGGAAAATGAAATTTAACTAAGTCTAGTACGACTGATACCAAGTGTAAGCCAGGTTGTATTTGCACAGGACTATCAATGAACACCAGACTTATAATGGGTAGACATATAAATTATAACTAATATTATGCCAGAACACACTGGTTGCATGGCAACAGGAAGTCAGAATGAATGAGATTCATATCATACTGATCAGTGCAGAATTAATGACAGAAGGAATATAATTAGAATGGAAGCAGGGCATATTTGGCAATGTGAGAGCAGGGGGATATGTTAGACAATTAATTATCTATAGAAATGAAGTTAGTGGTCTAGGAATAAATTGGCTTTCTCGATAGAGATAAATGGTTCATTATCTCTTGTCATTAAAAAGTAATTCAGCACAAAAAAAATCTAATCAGAGTAATATAGGTAAAAAAAATGGATCATACCCTTGGGATACAACACAGCTGTGTAGAACTTCATCATACATAATTTCAAAATCAATATACACTAATGAATTAATTAGTCAAACAGATCATGTCACAATTATTTAAAAATCAAAAATAGTAATTACTTTTGGATATGCAGTTTTATCACTAAATATAATGAGGTCAAATATGAAAATAACATACCTTGGAAATTATTTGGATAATTATTAATATCCAAAAACTGCTTCACATGTAGACTGTTTGATAAAATTTGATATGATAAAAGAATATTTAGATATTGCTGTAGTGCTTTTTGTCTCTCGGCAACAAACTCTCGTTCCATATTCCCAAAGACTTTCTTAGGTGGGAGAGGTAGCATTATCCCTGACTGTTTTAAATTGTCATGTAGCGTAACAAAGTCACTGTATCGTCTATGAATCTGTAGGAAAAGCAATCTAAATTATGACTGTATACTTCACAATGGAGGGGAAGAAGTTGTTTAAATAAAGAGAACCTGATATTGATATTCTTATATAGGTCATTTGTATAGAATATTAAAAACATAGAATTATAATGTCATTCATGATATAAACAGCATCAATTAACAAAGCTTTAAAAGTTGTACCCTGGGGACATTTCTGTGGAATTTTCTGTGGAATATTCGTTAATCTGAATTTGAGCAAATTGAGAGATAAATATAATAAATGTTCAAATTTAAATGTTCTTCAGTATCTGTGAACATTGGCACTAGTTTCAGCTTCCCATTTGATTGTGTATTTGAATTCCTCTGTTAATGTTTTGAATAGTTTTCAAAAATATTTCTTTTGTTCTGAAATATTGTAGGCCAATTGCAAATCACAATAAGACATAATGATGGAAAACCATGCAATGTGCTCAAATTCAAACCATCAAATATTTTGCATAATTGTCTCAAACCCCTAACACACCTAGCTGAATAACCTCAGACACTTTAAATAAAAACTTAATATGGCTAGTAAACAATACAGGCTTTAATGAACAAACAGGAGAAATTATCAGTGTCACTGCCAATTATTTTTTCACATCAAAATTTTGGCAGAACAATTTGTACTTTTTTTAATTCACATTGATAAACTTATGAGTGAAAAATTATGGTTTATTTTATGAAAGTTGGCTTTGTGATAACCTTTCTTCCTTGTTGAACATTATATTATTTATTGTACCAAATTTAATACCAAGAAATATTCAAAGAAACATACTAAAATGATTAAACCACTGTAGACATGTAGGTAGTACAATGTATATATGTAGGCAAAGGATAAACCATATTCACTTGTAATAAATGACTTCAATACACCACAAAAGGTCAGCTGAGGTCATGCAGCTTTGTCACATACAACATTATAAATATGATTGTGAAATGCATTGTCAGTTGCACAATTTAGCACAATATTTGTGTAGCTTGAACTCCTTATCCCATTCTTTCATTTCATTCCAATTAGCTGTACATTATGAAGACATAAAAAAAAAAGAGAAATGTTGGCTGTGACATTTATAGTCTTCAATATAAAATGTAATATTTCACCCTACCTGCCAGCAGTTTTCTGGAACAGGACCTCGTTGTACTCGTATCACATAATCCTAAATCAGGAATAAAACAGATTAACTAAACATTTAGTTGATTACTGTTATTGTAGTATTTGTTGCTCCATGCTTATAATCAAACACTCCAGTATATAATCTTCCTTTGGGCATTAACATTAAACAACAATTTGTCCATTGCCGAGATTCATTCCATAAAGAATGTAACTTTATTAATTTGGTTAATTAATTAATGTCTGCAGGTGCTTGTATTTGACTAGGCTACATAGATAACACATTGAATTATCATAACACTATTACGTGCATGACAAGAGTATGGTCATGCATACAGTCCTGTTACAACCATGGAAGGCAGTAGGGGAGGAAAACAAAAGTTTTAATCCAACTTGTTTCTTTTGTTTCAAGCCTTATCGTAATTATCTATTTTTTCCTTTCAACCCATGAGATGGATAACCTCCAATGTACATTATATTGATTTTATTGACAACCATAACACATCAATCACTAACTTAAGGCTTTATGTATTGTTCTGATTCTATTGAAATCCCATAAAATATTACTGAATATTACTGTATGCAATAAGTCTGCCTCTGCTACTTAGTAAATAGTTGATGTTCATGCCAATGTCTGGAAACAAAGCACGTCAGTATTTTAACGTAACCAGGTTATCAAAGTATGTAAGTGTCACAGATGTACAGTCTTTGTGTTCAATTTATGAGCCTATTTTACCAAAATGTTTGGCTATGCACACTAAAACCTTAAATTATGTTATTAAAATATGGAACTTTTTTACGCACATTAAATGTTGATGAATTTGCTGAAAACAGATTGAAAAATAAAATGTTTATAATCATTCTGTGACAGCTGGTAACAGTTACATTTACAGACAACATAAATATCTCTTTTGTCTCCCCTGACCTTCTGTGGATCATTTATTTTGCCACAGAAACCACAATCCATGACAGGACTGACTAGCCATCTGTAAATCAAATGACAATGCACTATGAATCTTATAGTTTCTTGAAAATCATAATAATGTAGTGACTGAATTTTATCATGGTAGAGTTGTTAGCAGTCTCATATACAAGTCTGTTTGAACTGGATTCTCAGCTTTGCTAGGGTAGGCATAAAAAGTAAGTAGAACAAGGTGGATGCTTTGTTTAGATAGAATACACCGGAATACACATGCGTACACAAGCAATAGGCAAATTGTGTCATGTATTGACATTTTTACTAGTTTGAATCTAAAACAGTGTTTATCAATATGCTGCACATTAACCTCTATTTGCTGTAACAAAATACATGGGGATGTTTAGACGACTGAAAGTTGATACGCCCACTCTGGCAACACAGTCCATGGTTAATCTGGAGGGGGTTCTAGTTAGACGACTGAAAGTTGATACGCCCACTCTGGCAACACAGTTCATGGTTAATCTGGAGGGGGTTCTAGTTAGACGACTGAAAGTTGATACGCCCACTCTGGCAACACAGTTCATGGTTAATCTGGAGGGGGTTCTAGTTAGACGACTGAAAGTTGATACGCCCACTCTGGCAACACAGTCCATGGTTAATCTGGAGGGGGTTCTAGTTACAGTTCTAGTTCACAAAGGATTTCACTTTTAAGTTCTGGCTGTATTATTAATATTATTATAATTATTATTGTTATTATTGCTATTAGCCTTTAAAATGAACCCAAATCTACAATTACAGTTTATTATTGATTAAATAGGTGATAAATATTAAATTTGTATCGGTACAGTATTTAGATTTGATTTCATTACATTTAATAAAATTACTGGACAGTAACCGACTTTTGTCAAGAATAGAGGCTTCATGATGTCCGTTGGTCTACAATACCACAAGCTTCATGTAAACAACGTACACGCCATGTACTGTCAGCCACAAGATGTAGTTAGGTCAGTGGCGTATACGTAAACAACCGGGGTAAACACCTGTGACTTCGTGGTAAAGTAACTGCTAACTTATAAGATAAACGGAGGGCATACCTGAAATGCGACTCACGTGGACAGTGAATACTTACTATATGTGTCTCTACATTTTGTGCAGCTTCTATGACAGCTGTTAGCGGTACCGTGTCGTCTAACATTAGCTTAGTCGACTTCTTTTTCTCAAACAACGCCATTTTCACGTTTTCTGTATTTCCTCTTTGGGGGCGGAGAGAAATCTCGCCAGGATCTCGCGAGGTCTAAGGTAGGGTTAGTGATAGAGGGCGTTATACATGATATCAAACCTCAATCCGGTCGGTCACCAACTGAAATACAGTTTTTCATTGTATTTGACATATTCGCATATTTAATTTAATTCAGTATAATCTTGAAACATGGAGCAAATGCGTGTCATACTGTGTCAAAAATAAAATAAAATAAAATAAAATAAAATAGTGAGATAGATCTTATTTTTTTGTTTTTTGCTAGCCAATCAATTAAACCCAACTCATCCAACCTGAAACCTGAATTTGTATGCATGCCCAAGATTCCCTCAATATGAGATACACATCTTGTACGTCTCGATCAATCGGAATGTTCCATTGCGGTACTTTACATACTAAATATACTGTTTTCACGTCTTATTCGTTTTCTCGGGTCAAATTCTCCAGGTAATGGGACATTTATACAACATGTAACTTATACACTGTACTGTCCAAGTTTGTCTGTGCTAGGAAGAAACCACACATGTTAGGTCCCAATTCGAAGTTCACACAATGATCGATTACCAGCGGGAAGGGTTGGGTGTATGGGGGGGGGGCACTTTTTTCCGGAGCAGGTTTGGGGTTGGTTCACTTTTTTTAAGACAGTCATGTAATTCGGTCCACTCACTGTAACTACAGGCATGAACAATATAATG